TTCAACCCATTAAGAACACTGAACTCTGAAAAACAACACATGACATAAAAGAGTATTGATTTGTACTGTGTGCATATGCATGTCAGCCAGGTAGGTGCTGATATTGCTTCTTTCCAGTCAGGAATCTCATTTTTACTCAAGGTAGTAACTTGCACACCATCATCTGGACACTGAGTTTATAGCAAGTGATGTTCTATTATGGCTGTCTATTAAAAATAACAACTTCAGATGCTGCCTGCATGGCTTAATTTCACAACACTTGAGGAAAGTGTTATGAAATACATTGTTATTTACTAAATAGTGTTATAAATGAATGTTGTCCTACCAGATGTTACGGTTGCTTATTTAAATTGATATTGCTTTACTGATTTTAGTAATGCTCCATTTAATGTGTCTAGATTGTGATGTTTGCCATGTTAAAAAAAGTTATGTCTTATGTCAAATACCCACTGTGCATTACATGTTAACATCTGTAGATATTTGTACCACATCTTCCTTCTTAGTGACTCTTTTCCTAACTTTAGTCCTCTGCACATCTCATCTTTTCACCCTGATTCTGTAGATGAGTTTCTGTCTCACTTAAATACATAGACACCTCTTTTTTAAAAAAAAAACATTTCCTGAGCAGTTAAAGCATTTTTATTCATAATGTCCTGCATACATGGCAGCATTTATAATACATGAATTTATTATATAAATGTAGATAAAGGGCAGAAGATGTTTATTTTATTCTTAAATTTGGTGAGCTAGAAGCTTTTAATTGCAAAACGGCATGAGGTTTTGTGTTCCAGCTGTGTCTACACCCTGCAGTTATTGCATGCTAACCCTGTAGAAGATAAGACTACATTTGCATGCAACTTGTGAACTATGCACCTACCCTGACTGAACTCCTCCCCTTCCATACCTTTGACATCGCCACCTTTCCCTGGTATGTGAACAGTGTCTTGTGTGTGTTCCGCTGGATGTTCAGCAAACAGGTTCATCCTCAGCACAGAGGATAATAAAGTTCATAATCAATAAACCTAGAAGTCTTGATTTGACTACTGTTTTTTATTTCAGGTGAAAATGTTTGTTAATTGTACTTTTAAATACTGTTGATTGTTCATGTGAACAATTTAGAAAGGAAATACTAAACCTACGATAATACATAAAATGTATATTATAGTCAACTGGAAGTGGTTTCTTATAAATTAAGGACCTGATGATTAATGTAGGTTTTTCGCAGGTAAGATTAGTCATTTCAGCTCTGAAAATGGTGGTTGGAGAAGTGTTTTCTTCCTGTAGTTATATACAGAATTTACTGCAATTACAGTATAAGATGGGTAGAGGCACAATGGAAGTTTAAAATGGAAGTTTTTGGTACTTAACGTCTTTTCCACTTCCGTTTGTTGTTTTTTACTCTTTCAGAGATTCGACTGAGAAAGCTGGTCGACGAACGGGAGAGTTTAGTAGAGCAGGTGAGTCTAATGTGCTCCCTCATCAGCTGTTTTTCTTCTCAACAGAGAAGGTGAGACATGGGTTGGCATGAAAACGTGGATGAGTGAGGGAATCGGTCATGCAAAGTGGTGTGTGCAGTATTGGGCAAGATGGTTTATTCATTTAACTGATAAATGACTTGTATACAGACTACTGAGTATCAGCAAAAGATATATGTACCATAAAGTTATGCGATGTTAGCATTACTTACATCACTTATTATGTGTAACATAGTGACTGTTCTCATGGTCAGCTTTTTAATCGGCAGTTCCGGTCATACTTAAGGAGATATTCATGTCTAAGACACAAGCACAGCTACATTTGAAAGTTATACTGCAGTATAGAATGCACATGACATCCTTATAAAATGTTCCAACTATTAATATTGATGAGTATACACTAATATGTACTCTACTGGTTTTGTGAAAATATGTCCAACATACAGTATGAGTAATTATGCTGTTATTAATTTACCATTATTAGATTCTGTATTATAAAATTAAGACCAATTTGCAGTGGTGTTTGGTACAGTCTGTATTGAATACCTAGAGAGAAGAGATGGTACAGGACAGTTTTTAAACCATCTCCAACTTTGTATTGCCTTCAGTTGGCGGTTTTTGTCCACCAAGTACAATCTCATCTGTCCCGTGTGTTGCAGGTGAGGAAGCTTAAGGCGCAGATTGAGGACAAGCAGAAGAATGGGACAGGGGAAAGTGCAGGAACTGAGAACACCATTCTGGAAAATGGCACAGATGTGCACGTCCTAGATTTACAGAGTAAGATTTGCTCAGAATATGACTGACAAAAATCAGTCATTCTTTCTCTGGAGTGAAATGCCTTGTTAACGATTTGATTTGGCTTGATTAATAAACTTTGCATGGTAAAACCCTCCCAGTTTAAAGGTCAAATGTGGTTGATGTGCAGTTACCGCATTTTAAACGTTGAAGATCTAATGTGGGATTAATCTGAGATCTATTTTCTAAATATTGATTTTTCTCCAATTCACCTGTTAAACCTGTTAAACCTGAAGCTTTCTAATGGCATTTTTGGTGATTTTGGTGTTTGGTCTTTCTTAGGAGATGCTAACAGGCAAATTAGTGACCTGAAATTCAAGCTAGTAAAATCTGAACAGGAAGTAACGGCTTTGGAGCAAAATGTAAGTACTTGAGCATGTACTAGAATGTAATAATACATAAGAGTTGTACTGGCTTTTTGGTTCATTCATTGAAAAAGTAAGAGGATTCTATGTCTCTTGTAGAGACTATTCAGACTTTTGCTTAGACCTTTTAGTTCTAAAGTCTCCTTAATGACTTTTATTTTACTAAACTGAGTTTTCTTAGTAGGTCACTTAAGTAGGTTTCCTTGTTCACCAGATTGTCATGTTAACCATAGTTAAGGATACTTGTTTCTAAAGCCCATGATGAATTCAGTGCATTTAAAATATAGTTCCTTTATGTAGTTATTGCACATGAAACAATATACACAATGATTTAAAACTGACTAGATTTGTAAACTGTTATATTTTTTGTAATTACTCTATATCACAGTTGTATTTTGTTCAAATAATCACATTTAACATTAATTGTTTTGTCCTGTAATTGTAGGTTGCACGATTGGAAGGCCAGGTGTCCCGGTACAAATCTGCTGCTGAGAATGCTGAAAAGGTAGAAGACGACCTTAAAGCAGAGAAACGCAAACTACAGAGAGAGGTAACATGGGCTGTCTCTGTCCCTGTGCTTTTCTAATAGCAGCCAGTGACCGAGAGACTAGGGCACAGGGTTCCAATTGTCATTTGCAATTTATTTCTTTACATTTCCTGTTTCCTTTGTGCTTTCTAGCTCCGTTCAGCGCTGGATAAGATTGATGAGCTCGAAGTGAGCAACAGCCACCTTGTAAAGCGTCTGGAGAAGATGAAAGCCAACAGGAGTGCACTATTGTCCCAGCAGTAACGGCAGCTTCTGAGCACTGCAGACCAACAACTGATGGAGCATCTGAAATGACGCGTTTGTAACTCAGTGCATTTCATCATATCAGGCACTATTTAAAAACCTAGAAAAAAGCGAAAACGATTAATAATGTAATTGCACACACGCGCTTTGTGCCACTTTTCATCACAGTATTTTATTTAAAATAAATAAACCACTTACCAAGCAGCACCCCCAGCAATATCCTCATGGTGTTCTGGGTGGCAGGTAAACTTTGTGCCTCGCTTCTTGAAATCACATGCAGGTCATAGTGGGAGGATCTTGACCGATGTCACTAGTGCAGGGAGGTGCAAGTCTGGAACCACTCAAGTGCTCTGGGTTTGGGAACAGGGAATTCGCTGAACTGGAGTGTCAGTTCAGTACTCCAGTCAGCAGGAGGGTTTACTAGCCAGATGGCTTGTGGATGGTTCACATGAAAAGAACATGCCTACATATCATTGTTTTCCTCTTTACTGTACCTTCAGAACCAGTTCAGGTATCTGCAGTGGAGTGTCTTCCTGTGTCAGATGTCACCCCCTTTCCTTAAACTGCACACTGCCCCTTACCACCTGCTCATCCTTTTTGCAACATCTGGTGCTGTAGATGCAGGTTGCCCCTTTTCTAGTCACACATTATGATGCTGTTGCTTTGTACCATACAGACACCTGTTGTCAATACAGGACAGCGATGAAGGGTCTCTGTAGGTCAATCGCTACTGATTCGAATGAGGATTTTTTTTGTTTTTAAGGATGGCATTAAATTTTTGTTCTTGTTTTCAATGTTTGTTGTAAAAGCAATGATGAAACTTTGTACCTCTCTCTGCAGTCCATGTAAGCCAAACTGTGTGATTTTTTTTTTGTGTTGTGTTGTGAAGTTATTTTGTTACATTCGTATGTTAAAGTGGTTATAGCTTATGTAGTCAACAGGGCAATAAAACTAGACAAACAGTGGCATTTGCCCTGGGCCTTCCTCTGACCATGAGCTATATACCCTTTTATTTTTTTCACAAAAGAAAACGCATCATAGCCATCACTACAGAAGATATATCAGCACTTATTTCACCAGCTTTCAATGTCTCAAAGTCTTTGAAAATTACGTTTGTCCTGCTATTTTGTAAAAAAAAAAACAATTAAAAATAATGTAAATTGCAATAATATTGACTCAGAGCTGAATGTATTGGTTGTTGGGTTTCTACTCAATTCAGCAGCCTGACTCAATCAAAATAAAACAAAAAAAAAACAGAAGTATGGAACAGCATCCCACCTCTCACCATAAAACAGTATGAATCATTTAATGCCTCAAGGAAACCAGGGAGATCTGATGGTAAGATCACTCACATATGGGTGATCAGAAGTGTGCGCTCGGGAAAGTCTGCCACTCCAGTGTTGTTGATGATTGTCTGGCTCTGGAGAGACTACAAATGTAAAAATGGTGTTTACAGAGCTTTAAAAATGTTGGAAATGTGTAATCATTGTGCAATATTTAAAATGTCTATTAAAGGTTAAATAGAAATTAAACTGGAAGAGTGTGTTCTGGAGATCTGCCGTATTGTATACATGGCATATGCTACTTTTGAAATGAAAGTGAATGAAAATGTCTTTGTGTCAAGGGTAAAGGTTGTTTTTTTTTACTTTTGGCATTTAAACAAGAATTCCTACTTTTTTTTTTAGAAAAACTAAACAACCTTGTAGTCTGGACAATCTGTTTTATTTTCCTTCAGAATACAAAAAGGGCAATTTTCATGTAGAGGTAAACTTTTTTTTTAAGTTAAGAATACTTTGACTACAGTATTTCTTGTTACCCTCACTAGATTATAATCCATTTATGCA